TGTTGGAGAAGACGCTCCTGAAACTCAGGGTGGATCAAAAAGGTAACAGATCAACAATATCCTTCAACATTTCTAATTGTGGAATACAAAAGCTAAATGAAAAAACGTCTTTAAGCGAGGTAGACGAAATAAATGAATCTGTCTCTTCTCTTATCTTCGTTCCCTTTCCACCTTCATCATGTGATCCTGTTTTGGCTTTAACTCCACTCAGAGTCGCTCCTGCGCTACTGTGTGGTTTGGAACACCAACGCCAGAAACTGCCAGAACGCCCAGGCCATCCTCCAGGTGCTCCTCACACACCTGCAGCCCGAGGAGCTGCTGCAGTACCAGGGCGCCCGAGCCCACCTCGAGGGACTCATCCCATATACAGGTGTGTGTGTGTGTTTTCCTGTTACCAATCTATCATTGCGGGGCCCCTTTACCTCTGGTTCCTATTTGGAGCCAATAAACACATCCCTCAAAAAACAAAGAATGGGTAGAATAATGTTTTGAGGAGAATCCATCCCTAATAGGGGAATCTAAAAAAATAGTGTCATGAAATAGGTTGATAGCTGGGATCACATGCATCAATAAGGGCCACATAGGTGGGATTGAACTCGGCTGCTGCTGGAAGTACATGAGACGCTTTACTAGGAAGGGTATTCCGAAACAGGAAGTATTTGTCAAAAAAAATTACTTAAAAAAGTGGATGTTAACATGACGGTATTGTGTTGAAGCAATCCTGTTACCCATCTCATTATTGCTGGGCAACTCTACCTCTGGTTAAATTCTGATGTGTGTATGAAACCCTCTGTAACTGGTTACCTCTGTTGCTCTCCCACAGAGAGACACATGCTGAGGATCGGCAACCTGCTGCAGGCGTCCATGTTCCTGAACTACATGTGGCAGAAGATGAGAGTGGCCGGAGCACCAGCCAGGTGAGGTTCAGACCCAAAACAGCCCTGCATTAAAACAGCGCTTCAGGCCATGTTGGTTAGCATGTTGTTTATGATACCGGAGAGACAATTAAATATGATCAAGGAAATCCAGCTGAAGTTACAGAATATAACAATTGAAGACAATAAAAGCATTGGCAGGAGTTTATTATATGATGAGACATTTAAGAGTATAAATAAACAGCTCAAGTGATCTACAAGCAATGTGTGCTTGCATGTTTGTGATCACATCACTTTGCCAGATGACATTATGTTGCTTTGCACCAAAACCTTTCTCCTGACAACATTGCATTTTTTTACTTGAGCTCTATGAAATTGCACCTCTGCTGCGCTGACAGACTGGCTCCAGTTAGTCTCACACACTTAATTTAATCTCTTGGCTCACAGATGGAGCTCAGTGACTTCCTTGTCTTCCTCCAGTAACTATTGCAAAAAGTGCAATCATTTTTTAGTTCAGCACAATGCGTTCCTCGTGCTTGGTAACAAGATATTGTCGGTCAAACTTGACATATATTGTAAATCCAGGTGAGGACTCCAGCACTGAATGCATTATAGTTGTTTGTGTTGCATATATTGTTTCTTTGGTTAAACATGTTGATTGTGCAGTTCATACATCTAATCCCTGTTTGTAAATCCTATCTAGCATGGGCCAAGATGAAGACATGGATACCACTCCTCTTGCACAGCCTTTCTTTATGATTGACAAGGAGAAAGGAATGGGCAGCGACGGTGAGGAGAAGCAAGATGGGGATGACAGTGATGGTGGACAAGATGAAGATCTGGTTAAAGAAGATGAAGAGGACAATGAGGTCAGTGCCACCAATAAATCAACCAACAACAACAACAACAACGGTGGAATAGCAAACGGAAAAGGCGCCAAAACAAACGGCAACCACCACTCTGAAAGTGAGGAGAGCTCAGGAGAGGAAGACCCCGAAGAAGAGGATCAGACAACGGTAAAGGTGGTGAAATGTCTCCCGGTTTCTTCCGCTCCAGAATGCCAGACTTCAGCCAGCTGACAGGGGTCTCAAAGCTGATAACAGATGACTCCTGCAGGAAAGAAAAGGGGGTTGTCTCATCTCGGACCATTAGCTGGTGTGACACAGTACACTGACTGAGTGTCAGTGTGTGAAGAGACGCAGAGACAGAAGTGGGATGATAGTGATACAGATAATAACCCTCTCTGTGCATTCCTAAGTCTCATGCCAGTCACTGAGTTGTGCTTTTTCAGACAAAGTGTACTTTGGTAGGAAAATAGGAGAAACAGAGCTGCAGTAAGGCTGTGTTATTCTCCCCCCCCCCCCTGCAGACACCAGCCGCTATTGTCTAGCTCTGCATAGCCCTGAACTACCGGTTCAACCACAACAACAGAAAATGTTCCTCCTATAACCACAGATTTTTTTTATGTCATGACTACAAATGTTTATAAAATAAAAGTCTGTTTTTTGTGATTTAAAATGAGTTACATTTTTATAAAGTCATGCATCATATGTTGTATGTTTAGAAATTCCCAAATGAGTCATTCGCATTCTAAGTGTTAATTGCTTAGTGGAAACATGGTGAACATTCCTGTTGGGTGTGTTGGAGCTTAGCTTCGGTGGCGAACACATCATGAAGTGAATTGTCTTAAGGATTAGTGATATACCCAAATAAAGTTATTTGCATAAAGGTGATGAGACTTGATTTCAGACTCATAAGCACGTACAGCTTAAACCATGTGCTGTCAGTCTTATGTGACCCTAAAACAAAACTAGAATAACCAGATGCTTGGATTCCGGTCAGTCTGTGAACAGGTGTGTCACAGAACAAACAAAGATTCATTCACCAAACTGAAACGGTATGTAGTTGAGAACAAAAGTTAGAAGATTGGCGTGGGTTTCTGCAATGGTGCCATAAGTGGGGGCCGCTTGCCGTTCAACCTTTTGTCCCTGGCTCCTATTTTGCATCCTGTCTGGTGCAATCTCATTTTAGCATATGCATTAATGAGTTATCACCATTAACGTTTTCGAACCCTCAGAGACCTTGATCCTCAACCCCTCCAAAAGTCGCATCAGTTCATCCTTGAGTCCATGGGGACGTTTGTGCCCGATTTGAAAATAATATGTTAAGGTGTTCTTAAGACATTGCTTCCATGAGGATCAGACAGATAACCCTTAAACAGAATGCCTTGGTTGTTGCCGACGCAGAGGCATAATGCGCAATTTTGTAATAGCATTCACACACATTTTTTTATTTATTTAACCAGATAAAAAAAGCATTGAGATAAAATCTCATTTACAATGCTGACCAGGCCAAGAAGGCAGCAACGTTACACATACAACAACACAAACATATAAAATACAAAGAACATAACTAAGAAAACAAAAGACGAAAAAGCAGTAACTACATTGTGCACATTAGGACAGTAAGAAAGGTGCACTACTTATTATTGCAAGAGCAGCTGGTGGTAAGGACTTCAGACAACTTCAATTTAAAACAGGCTATAGGGACAAGTGCCGTCAGTTTGAGGTGTGATTGAAGGTCCTTCCAAGACCAAGAACCATAATTAAAAATACTCCTTTTTCCAGCCTCAGTCCGCACAGCAGGAACCTGGAACCGTATCCCAGGCACTGGATCTGAGGTTGTAAGAGTCACAAACTGGAGCAAATCTGGCACATATATACAGTGGAAGCTTACCTAAAATGGCTTCATACATTAATAAAAACCAATCCAAACCAATCCTACGCATACTAAGTGAGGACCATCCAGTTAGGCTATACAGTTTGCAATGATGAGTCCTATAGGGTGCATTTGATATATAACGCAGTGCAGCATGGTAGAGTGGGTCAAGTTTGGCCAAAACAGTGGGACAGGCAAATCTATAAATTGTATCACCATAGTCAAGCTGGGACAGGAATAAGCCAGAGACCAACCTTTTACGGGATGAAGTTGAAAAACAAAATTTAAGTCTGAAAAGGAAGCCAAGAGTGAATTTCAATATGGTGTTTGAAGTTCAGATTACTGTCCAACCAAAAGCCCAGATATTTGTAGTAGGTATCGAAAAACTCAACAGAGACGCCATCAAGGGTGCCAATGGAGAGGCAAGAGGAGCAAAAAGCATTGCTTTGTTTTTTTTTACTGTTCAATAGCCATTTGGAATCAAGAAGTGCATGCTGCAGCGTGATAAAATCAGATTTTAAATTGGAAACGGCCATATCCAGAGAAGGAGCACATGAATATACAATAGTGTCATCAGCATACATATGATAGGTAGAAAATTGCATCTGATTACAAATATTGTTTACATATAATAAAAAGAGCAAGGGCCCCAAAATAGAGCCCTGTGGAACTCCCTTCTCCAAGTTGACAGGGTCCGAGACAGTACTACCCAACCTGACGCATTGAGTACGGTCGGTTAGATAACTCTGAAACCAGCAAATGGGATTATGACCGAAACGAGACATCAACATAACATTAGACATAATGTGGTGATCTACAGTGTCAAATGCTTTGGCTAGGTCAATAAACAATGCAACACAAACAGATTTTTTATCCAAAGCAGCCTTAATATCGTGCAAGACTTTCAGACTGGCAGTCACAGTACTGTGCTTTGATCTGAATCCAGATTGCATAGGGTTAAGGATGTTGTGTGAATTTAAAAAAAGTTTTAGCTGAGTAGAAACTAGGGACTCAAGAATCTTTGATAACACAGAAAGATTTGAGATAGGACGATAGTTATTCAACTCCGTGGGATCACCAGCTTTCAAGAGGGGCGATACCAGACCTTGCTTCCACACAGCTGGCAGTGTGTGAGTGGACAGGGAGAGATTACAAATATCAGTTACTGGTTGTGCTATAATCTGAGCTGCAATCTTTAAAAAGAACGGGTCGAGGCCGCCATGCCCGGCAGACTTTTTAGGATCAATTGAGTGCAAACCCTGTAAGACTTCAGAGACCGAGAAATACGCGAAATCAAAAACAGTGGAGTTCATCCTGGAATTCTGTCCATCGAAGGTTGGGAAAAATGTTGTGGGCTGACTGACAGAGCGAGCTATACAGCTTAAAAAAAAATCTTGAAGCAAGACATTTAGAGTTTACCCAAAGTATTTTTATTTGTTCCAAGCTTTTTTGTAACAAGAAAATACATTCAAGATTTAAATGGTCAGTATATTCTGTGTTATTGACACAACCTATTACTATATACAAGTTAATTTAGCTGTAAACATGCTTGACCAGGAAACAAAATGCCCACATCATACTGTTCATAATTCAGATACATATTTACTTTTGCTCCAGACACAAGAACACATCTCTTTCCCTTTCTCTCTGTGCACTCAGCACACTCAGAATGCATACAAGGTTTCCAGTATGGAAAATAAATCATTCAAAACAGAGTTAATTAGCGTGTTATGAATGTTAAGTGTTTACAGATTCATAATTGTGTTAATATATTTTCTGCTTATGTTGAATGCCTTTGTCTATGTGTGTACTAAATGTTCCCACAGTCACCTCAATACAACTGATATATTGCCTCGTAGTCATAATAAAACTACTCTTACATTCTGAACACATGCTCACCTCACTAGGGAGTTTTATTTGCAGAAATCAAATACAAATTGCGGGAAACGGTATTTCGATCTCTTTGTCTGTACACACAAACTGAAAGATTGACAATAAAGTTGACTTTGAATTTGACTAAAGTCCTTAATTATACAAATAAAGTTAACACACATTTCATCGACTGAATATATCAGTCTGTGTGGGCGACAGGCCGCGCCTGGCTGCGTTCTTGCGGGTGACAGTGGTACAGCGGGTGAGGATGTCCTGGGCCCGCGGTCTGGGGGGCACTTTAGGTGTTGTCGGACCCTTGTAGAGGTTGGGATCAGAGACACTGGGGGGCATTTTCCCCTCTAGGCCACTTGTCGGGCTGAGGCGGTTGCTCACCACGGGGGGAGGCGTACGGCTGAGACGCAGCTCCTGTTCGTTGTAGCTTTGGCTCAGGTTGATGGATGAGGAGCTCTTCCAGGAACTGTTGAGGTCATCGCTGAAGCTGCTGCTGTCGCTCAGACTCCCCTCGCTGTCGGCCTGCAGGCTCAGGGGACGAGGCTCATCTTCTCCGTCCATCTCCACCATGATTTTGGGGAAAGGGAAAGGCTTTGCGGTCGTGGGGGAGGTGTCAACGTCGGTGGAAGAAGTAATGCTTGCTGCAGACGGAGCAGCAGGAGGATGATAAGGCTGGATATCAACAGATTTTGACTTCTGCTGTAGGAGTGGTAGTTGCATCTTGGGTGTGGACGATCGGACAGGAAGTTGCAGCAGGTTGCCTTGAGAGAGGCTGAGACCTTTGGACTGCTGATCCAGGGACGGCATTAGTTGGTTCGGGGAAGAGTTGCGGCGATCTTGATTGGTGGCTATCATGCGGATATGAGGGTGTTTGTAGGGCTTCAAGTACATGATGGGGATGTAGCCTGCTTTACCATTATATCTGTTAAAAATGACAAAGTGGAGAATGTAGAGGGTTACAATTAGAATGAATTTTGTTATGCAAGAGTATTTCCAAGGAAGCTTTCACACACACTTTTCATAAATTATTTAGAGGACCAGTGCGTTGAATTTAGGGGGAAAAGGAATGCACTCTTCCATTACGTTTGCACCTTAATTGTTTCTACAGGAGCCCAGAACAGACAAACCAACATGCTCCAGAAAGGGTCTTCTGAGAGTTTACGTTACTCAAAAGCCACCCTAGGTTTTCTGACAAGCAGTGTATTTAAGTTGGTTCCAATCTAAATCTAGTACACTGGATGATGTTTACCTGACGAACCACCAGCCGTTGTCAGACTTCTGCAGGACTTCCACCACAGCACCGATGTCCACGGTTATCTCGTCATCCTTGGTGGCCTTGTAGTTCTTGACTGCATTGTATAGCATTCCTGGAGTGAAAGACATTTCTTTAATACAGTGCTTTGTTGCACCTTTACTTACATAACCAACAATGTTCATCCACATAAGTACTATAGTAAAGTACAGTTTTTACATATTTGTATTTTTGAGTTTTTCCATTTTACTCTCTAACTGTGCACAGCACTTTAAAAAGGAAATTATGAAATGTGTATCCCCTTACATGTATTTGACACATATACTTTATATTTCCTTTTTACAAAAAAAAACCATCTGTGCTTGCATGATATAATGCAGTAAAAAGCTGCTGCTTTACCCAATAACACACAAAGTATCTAAACTTAGTTCCACACTGACAGACTAAAACATTATAATCCTCTTGATGAGCAATTGTGATAAAAAATAATATATAATATTCTATCCTATTTCAATACAACACTGTGAAATGAGCCATTCTGCATAGAGAGCACTTTTAATACTCCAAGATAATTTTGCCGTTTATCTGTAATTTGACATTTTGAGGGTTTCTACAACCAACTTTTTCTACTTTCACTTTTAAAAGTATCTAACCCTTTACTGCTGTGTATACAAGCTGTGTGTTGATGGTCTTATGTTCTGATTGGGTACAACTTATACTGTACTTATGCACATACCTCTTTCAGAATTCCCATCTATTTCATCTTCATCCTCAGCCTCATCGTCATCCTCCAGTTTATCCAGGTAGGGGGCAGGGAACCAGGCCATCTTCTTGCTTTCATTCTCCACAAGCCACCACCCTAAACCAACAGGATTTCACATTTAACAGATCTCACGGTAATGGGTTGTTGAGGTAAACCATTAACAGGACTCTGAGGCTCGCTCACCTGCTTTGTCTTTGATGAGAACATCGACTTTTTCGTCCAGCGCTACTTTGAAAGGCTTGTTCTTGGTATCTTTGGTCTCGTAAGGAGCCACACACCTGTACGTCTCGGTGACAAACGGCTGGGTCACGTTCCCCACGCACTGATCCTGTCCTGCATCTCTGATCATTTCATCGTCTGCTGGCATGATCATGATGCTGAGGAAGAGTAGAGAGCCAAAATTATTAAGAATTAGGCAGAAAAGCAGAGCAGCTCATTGAAAAGTCTAAATCGTGACTTCTATTAATAAACTGACTATACATTTGTTGGATTGTGGACTAGTCAGGTTTTAATTTAAAGGCTCCTGATGCAGATCTTACATTTAACATGAACAAGGGCCTCATGCTTGCTGAGAAACTTACATGTTCTATTTTGCAATTATTTCATATTCCTCTGTTTTTTTTTAATACTCTAACTACTCAAACTATTATAATATTGTACATGGGGTTTTTACTTAGGGTTGACACTAAGTATCTGGTTACAATGAAAAAGTCAATTTAAGCTTTTTGTCACGTTTTATATAATAAAACATATATTCTCAATTAGACATTTTGGAAAAGCTAAAATCCCGCAGAAAAGCCTTCTGGAGTTGGTAGCAACAAATCGGAATTTAAATTTGAAACAAGAATGTTTGGTTATTAGATATCATTTCATTTTTGAAATGCTTTAAACTACCTGTTCTGGGCAAACTCCGGCTGCAGGTCCTGATCTTTGGGGTGGAAGAACTGGATCAGGTCTGCCGACTGGCAGACCCTCGGGTCGCAGCTCAGAAGTGCATTACAATATTTCTGCAGAAACTTGAGTCGCAGCAGAGACCTAGTGGGGCCTTTCTCCCGGCTGCCCCTTCTCAGCCTTCTGTCTGAAAGCACACAGGACGCGTAAAGTCAGGATCAACACAGAAATACACTTTGTGACTCACATAAACTGCTGCTGTAAATACATACCTCGATATCTGGGGATGATTCTGTCGGATTGTTTCATTTTACTTGCAGGTGGGAAAGCTTTCTTCATTAGTTTCTATCATAAAGAAAATGGGTAACAGAGTTGTTATTAATAACCAATAACCACACCACACAGGCGCAACACATGAACCAGCTGTATACTCACATGCATTTTCTTAAATTCCGGATTAGTCCTGTAAACTAGAATATCACTCTGGTCTGACCAAAGCACGGAGGTCATGTACATCTGGAAAAATTCAAATGCAGATGTTAATCACACTGTAGAGAAGAGGTCTCTTAATTATTTTTTGTTCAAGTCGCCACGCGCTCACTTTGGTCTTCTCCTTGTGCATGACTCCAATTAAACGCACGCTGATGGGATACCGCTGGTCCTCCATGAGGAAGCGAAAAGAAATAAAGTTGAGTGTTAAAATTGTGAGGGTTCCTCTCAGACCGGCTCTGATCCTGGGACTGCAGCTCAGGAGCTGGGCAGGTGTATTTATAGTTGCTGCACCTGTGCAGGTATTGCGTCGCGCTATCACTTCGGAAACTCCAGCAATGTGCAGTTTGTATTCACAGTCTTTATTCTACATTTAGAGCACTTGTGTGGGCGGCACGTTTTTGTGGTTTTCAAATGATGTCTCTTCTTCAGTGATGGAGAAATGTACTTTATTACATGTTGATGTATACGAGGAGATCTGAATTTGGCAGAGGTTTATTTAAATAGGAAGCTGTTAGCTCTGGTGATGGTTCATAATCTTTTTCCTTCAGAATGTTTCTTCATGTCCTGACCATTTGTCAAATTGTAATTGTCTTTTCTTTACATATATTTCTAGCTCCCATCTGTTCATTTTTAGTCATATCAATCACATAAAGAATTCTCTTAGTTGTCTTAGTGCTAGCTGAACTATTCATTAATAGTCAAATGCTTCAGTGTAACAGTAAGAAAATAATCGGTTCTTAAAATAGCAGGCATGCATTGTTTGAGCTACATGAGGAAGTTATTGCTCATATTTGTCCACATGTCTTTCCTTTCTATTTTGTCGAAATAATGTTTCCTTCCTCTTTGTTGGCTGCAGCATGCACGTACGCCAAACACGATCCACATTCATTGGTCCTCAGCTAATTTTCTTATTACTAGAAATGACTCTTTCCTGAATGTGTCTTCCTGGTTAATCATCAGCCTATTGCTAACAACAGGTGGGAATTCCAAAATCTAAATGTGTCATTACTCTGTGCTTTCCTTTTTCAAATGCTTTGTTTCTGGCACTTTGGGGCGGAGCCACTGGACTTTGATTGACAGCTGCCAGGAAACCCGGAGTTGCCAGGTTTGATAAATGCCTGAACTACCAAGAGCCGAGGAGTGACGGCAGCAAAATCAGTTGGACGATATTGAATGGTAAAGTTGTCCATAAAAAACTATTATATTCGTAAAGTGTACAGCTAATATATATATATATCTATATACAAATTAATTTTATATAAAACAATATATTTTTGAGTGGGCTGTATCTGTCGAAAATTGCATATATATATATAAATTAATTTTATATAACACAATATATTTTTGAGTGGGCTGTATCTGTCGAAAATTGCATATATATATATATATATAAAATTGTATTTTATATAACACAATATATTTTTGAGTGGGCTGTATCTGTCGAAAATGGCTAGCTATCTGCTGTACACTCTTAGAAGGGATGTGTCAAAAATGACACAACATGTGTTGAATTTCAACACACCTACAGTGTGCTCAGGGACAACACGTGTTGTGTTTATTTATGTGTAAATCATGTTTACACACAAAATGTGTTACATGCCCCTAACACACAATGTGCACATTTTACACATTGTGTGTCATAAATGTGTAACCAAGATGAACACACTCATTTGTTATTTCTGCACATTTTGTGTTATATTTCTTTAACCAGTATTAACATTTGATTGTGTTATATCTGCACATTGTGTGTCAATGACGATTACTGGAAGTACCAGGTGGTGGATATGGTTTTTATTAAAAAAATTGAATGCAAGAATACATTCATTGGACATTTATTTACAAGGATTCATTAGCACAATATGTCATTAAGAAAATAATTGTTAACATTTAAAAATATTAATATTTTTCTAATTCATCAAATGTTGACAGAATAGATAATTCATAAAATCACACCTAAAAAAACCTTATACCTTGGTTAAAACAAACTTAATCTTCAGCATCTATTGTTGTAAATGACTTTCAGCTGAGGGAATATAGTGATGAGATTCTTCACAAGGACCACCTTTTCAGTGTTGGATGGATAATTAAGGATAAAAATGAATGACAAGCTATTTATTTTTTATTTTTCAAAAAGAATACAACAGTTCTAGCATACAAATATTACAAATGCGTGATAATAAAGTAATTGGTTATAAAGAATGTCCTTTTGTATCAAGCAAATAAAAAAAACAATTTTTACAACCAATTATATTTATATATATATATATATATATATATATATGCAATTTTTGACAGATACAGCCCACTCAAAAATATATTGTTTTATATAAAATCAATTTATATATATATATATATATATATATATATTAGGGCTGTCAGTCGATTAAAATATTTAATCGCGATTAATCGCATGATTGTCCATAGTTAATCGCGATTAATCGCAAATTAATCGCACATTTTTGATCTGTTCTAAATGTACCTTAGAGGAATATTTTTCAAGTTTTTAATACTCTTATCAACATATGAGTGGACAAATATGCTTTATGCTAATGTTTATTATCATTTGAACAATGACAAATATTCTCATGAATATTAAACACAACAACCTCTGAACATTACAAATATTCGCCTCAATTCAACCTGGAACCTCTCTCATACAATAATACAATACAAATGGTGTGTGTGTGTGTGTGTGCGCGCGTGTGCGTGTGTGAGTGTGTGTGTGTGATGGATCGTTGGAGCTATGTGCAACTCAAGGCATATGCTCGAACGGGAGCTGCCTGGACGCTGCAATCATGTTGCGCACTATCCGTGCTGAGTGTGCTGACTTTTCGTACAATGCCCCACTGTCTGGCTTCCTGCATAAAGTCAAGTGCTCGGCGCAGTTGTGGCGAAATGTCGCTCCTCTGTTTTCATTTAAACAGCTCCATATCCGTTAGCGCAGCTAGCTAGCACCAGATGCTAACAACAACAATGCACGTAAGGTCTCTCTCTCGCTCGCTCGGGCCACACATACACACACCCTCCCGGTCCTCCCAACAGCCAGTCGGTGCCTGCCGGTGAGCGTGGAAGTGTGGTCTGCCACAAGCGGGCGGCAGGAGCGGGGCTGTCAGCATCAGCTTGTAGATGGTATTTTAAACTCGATGCGCTCTGAAACTACGGGGTGGCAGAGGAATAAAAATACACATGCGTTAATCGCGTTAAAATAATTAGTGGCGTTTTTGCGTTAACGCGTTATTAACGCATTAACTTGACAGCCCTAATATATATATATATATATATATTATATATATATATATATATATATATATATATATATATATATATATATATATTAGCTGTACACTTTACGAATATAATAGTTTTTTTATGGACAACTTTACCATTCAATCTCGTCCAACTGATTTTGCTGCCGTCACTCCTCGGCTCTTGGTAGTTCAGGCATTTATCAAACCTGGCAACTCCGGGTTTCCTGGCAGCTGTCAATCAAAGTCCAGTGGCTCCGCCCCAAAGTGCCAGAAACTTTTCACGCGCGCGTAGACAGACTCCGCGAGGCTGTACTCCCGCGAGCGAGCAAGAGGGCTGTCGCAGAGCCGCTCGCGGGGGTTTAATCTGCGCGCGAGGGTCATTTTATGCGCGTGTAAAAGCACATTTTCCGCTCGTGAGTAGCTTGTTTTACGCGCTAGAATATTTACCCAAATCTGACTCCATAGGTGCCGGTAGCGGAGGTAAGGCACACACACACCAAATGTTCAGGAAATGGTTAATACAGCGAAAATCAAAGCTGATGATCTCTTGGTTTGATATGTTTTCTCCCCCAGACAACATGGACATAAGAAAAACAAATTCAAAGAAGAGGAAAGTCAGTCATCAGCTGGTAGCAGGGGCGGATCTAGACAAATATTCATGGGGTGGCAAGAGGGTGGCAGGAGAATTTCAGGGGTGGCATCCCCTGGCAGAAGTATATGTTGATTTAATCGCAGTCATATCAATCAATGTTAACTTGGAAAGCCACAATATTTATTTTAACTCAATAACATAGGTGACATTATTGTGGCACATCAGTAAATCCTAAAGGTCGGGTAGGTAAGTTTGAGAAATCGGCTCGAGATACACTTTTTGTTATATTCCATGGAATGCTCTTAACATCCCGATAGCAATGAATATCTTAAGTGCTTTGACAAAAAATCCATTAAAAAATGTCATCTGTGGAAGCCGTGGTACTGTAAAAAGCACGACCAATCATGTTAGCCGGCCCGGCTAAAATAACTGGATGGCCTACCTGCCTGTCAGCCTTCCATCTGTGCACAACCTTATCTCGTGCCCTCATTGGTCATGTGCGCGTTCGTGTGTTGGAGGAGGGGCTCTGTAGGACGTGGCAGATTTTTTCCGGCTGTGTATTTTCAAATTCTAGCGCACTCGAGCTGGTTTCTCCAAAATTACCTACCCCACCTTTAAATATAAATATATAAGGTGGCAGACGTAATTTTAACTGAACAATAACTGAATGAGTTGGTTTCACTCTTAGACCAGCAGGGGTACCAAATCTATGCAGACTGCTGCAATAAGTACATTAATTAACTGTCTCTTCGATGTTTGTCTAAATTAATATGATACTATTAACAATCATATTATTCCTATCAGCTGTCAATCACTGTTATGATTCACATATTCAGTGTTATTATTAAATAAACTATATTTTTTGGAGGAGTTAATGATGAATGTTCCTCAAGATGCTTGCTCACCCTCCTTCAAATTTGAAAGACAAGTAATTACTATCATAAATCAAAAGAATCAAAAGAACAGTTCAGCGCCCCACGACTTCATTGCAAACAGTTACAACCTTGACTTTACATCAGAAAGAACACACATTAAAGAAGTGACTAACTGTATCAGTTAGGGTTAAAAAACGTGTATTCAGCTAAAACATATACATCGCTGCTGTTATTATCCAGTGGAAAGTCCTTACCTACTGGCCTAGTTAAATCAAAGTGGTTACTTTCTGTTGGCTGGGCAGTGTAGTTTTACACACCGTCTTATTTGACTTTCTCAGGACTTCAAACTGTTTTTTGGGGGCAGACCCCCTCAAAGAAAAAAATATATTTACACACGTAAGGTCATCATTTTAACAGTTTGTTATGCTCATTGAGTCATCCGTGAGCAGTGCATCAAGTTGGCATGCCTATAACAGCTGAATGTGGCGATTACCATCTTGATCAGCAAATCGCCTCACAAACTGATTAAGATTTAAAGCTATGGTGCATTTTGATTCAATGCTGAGTACAGCCTGAAGAACATATCGAGGTTTAAAAAACT